TGCAGAAATAGGGAAGGCTTGCGAAATGGGGAAGGATTGTCTTCTGAAGAAGGAAAGGTTTCTTTCCCATCACTGGTCTAAAAGCAGAATTCACAAAAAAGCTACTGATCCTGAAAGAATTCTTGCTAATCTTGTTGGAGCATTTGCTACGCTGAAAATTCAGAACATGCTGTTTACTGTCTTTTATAACTGAATGTTACTCTTAAAATTTAGGACATTTATGAAATGTACAAAATGAATGTTTGCATCAGAATGAGTGGTCCAGTGACTATAACCCTGTTTTAGCTGAAATCCAGAGCAGTTTTATCTTCATATTAAAGATTAATTACTTTTGCTAAGTTAAGTGGACTTTTGTGACAGTTTAAAAAACATACTGAAGTTAACTTTGAGCTGCTGTAGCATCACTTCAAAGAAGGAACATAGATCACTTACAGTGTCAATACAAATCTAAAAATAGTAGCCAAAATCTGTGCTTTTTGATGCTGTCTGACTACTGTCTCCCTTTTTCTCCACTTTTGGTTCCAAAAGAGGGTGTAAGCAGTCACAGATTTACAGAATTACAGATGTATCCCCTACACCATAAGAAAACAAGGTCTACTATTGCTGAGCTGCAATGCACTGGCTCTGGTTCAGGAACTAACACCTCTTCGAAGAGAGCACTCACTAAATCAGCTCGTCACAGAAGTGCAAGGGAAAAAAGGCAAGACATATTTGACTATAGGGGTGGATCAGGGTCATCTGAAACTCCATCCCACAAGTAACCTTTGTCAGATAATGGTACTGACCATCAGCTGGGAGAAGGGATTTCCAGAGGTGCAGGATACCTGTTTATATTTTTACTTTTTCATGAGATAGCCCCTCACAGCTTCAACTGAGGGGCTACTGACCACCTCGTCATGGAATCATCATTCCAGCCAGTGTTTTGGGCTGGGAGGGACCTTAAGCTTATTTCCTAAAGACTACTCAGTGCTTTTTGCGCCATAGATCACTCCCATAGCTTCAGTCCCAGAAACAGGCATTGTGCCCAACTGGAGTTTAGTACCAGAACAACAGGATATGCGCCTCACTGTCTTTTTTTTTTTTAACCCTTTCATTTTTTCATCTTCTTTTTTTTCTCTTTTTTTTTTTATTTTTTCCTCTCTTTCCCTCCCTCTCTCTTTCCCTCCCTCTCTCTTTCCCTCCCTCTCTCTTTCCCTCCCTCTCTCTTTCCCTCCCTCTCTCTTTCCCTCTCTCTTTTTCTTTAAGAAGATAGCAAAACTAAAAGAAATATGAGGAACAAAATGTCAAGAAATGCATCTCTTTAGATCTGGATACACATTTAACCTTATTCTAAGGAGCTGGAAGTCTGAGTGAGCTCTTTGTTGTTAGAGAGATTTATCTGGCTGGTTCCACTTACCCATTTCAGAACAAGCCCCCTGTCTGAAAACCAAGGCTGCTGTCTGGCCATGTGCTGTGGTGGTGTAGGAGTGGTGGGGCTCCTTTCTGGAGAGCTGTCATCTCAGGTGCTGCAAGGCAATACAGGGTTTGTAGGCAGGTGAACTTCACACTCCCCTGTCCTCATCCTAGGGTCCAAAAAAAGTGTGGATTAGGGAACATTAACTCCTTCCTGGCCTGTGTTTTTATAAGCAGGAAAGATGCAGCATAGTGGCCTTCAAGTTGCAGAGTACCTCTTGGGTGCTAATATAAGGGATTACTAAAAAAATCTAGTTTCTGAGGATTGCTAATCTCTCTATTAGGAATATGCCTATTACATAGTTATAAAACTAATGAATGTATTTTTTAAACATGCAATAATTATCTAATTAAATATAAGGCATTAGTTTAAGCGGACTAGCTCTCTTACTAAAATGCTGTCTATTACAAGTAGATTTATTGAGGATTAACAACTACATAATAGAACTGTATCTATTTCATGATTGTTAATCCTCAATGAATGTTTTTAATAATTGGCACTCAACTAAAGGATTATGTGCATTGTGATGGAGTTTATGAAGCAACAGAACATTTCTTGTGTGTGATGAAGTGCTAAAGGGAATATGCCTATGATATGGTTAAATAATTGGGGGTGTGACATGATAATGGCACATGTGACAGAACATCAAAAAAAGAAAAACAAACCACGAAAAAAAAGGGAGGAGGGATAATGAGGAAATTGCAGGTAGTAGCAAATTTTTTATTTTTATTGTTACTTGATACATTTTTGAAAGTATTGTTTAATTTCTTTTATATTATGTAGGAGAAGCAGTAACTACCTACTTAGACAGCAAGATATTTAATGTTTAAAAATAAGTAAATGTGAGGTTTTGGTTTAAAATGGTGAAATATTTCAGTCTGGTTGGTGAAGATGTTTCAGTATTTTAGTTTTGTTCTCAAAGTCTCTTCTAGGCACATGAATTAGTGAACTAGAACATAAATTCAGTATTAATTGTGACTCAAGGAGTTCCAGGAATGTGTGTAAGTGTGTTGGTTTTGCCTGGCCTGCTTTTGGTGGTAGGGGGGCTTATTTTTTACTTCTCACTATCCTTCTCTGACTTCATCAGTAATAAGCTCACTTTGTATCTCTAAGTTGAGCCTGTTCTGCCCTTGGAGTGTTTTCTCCCAGTCCTTATCTCAGCTCATGAAGCCTTCATTAATTTTTTTCTCTCCTCTGCCCAGCTGTGGCAGGGGATGGTGAGTGAGTGGCTTTTTGGGGGTGCCTGGTGCTTGGCCAGGGCCGAACCATGACCCTGTGCCAAAGTGACAGAATACAGAAGGAAGTTGTACATTACACTAGAGCACAAAGAAATGCTGTGAATTTTTCATGGAGTCACTTATGGAAGCAAACAGGAGAAAACACATATTTTGTTGGTTTAGCTGATCCCAAGAGAAGACACTGGTCCTGAAATAAACTTTAAATTTTAGCTGTTAACAACTAGAAAGGCTGAGTCAGTGCAATTAATCAATCATTGCTGTGAGCACCTTTAGATTTCTTGTGGATGAACAAATTCTAATGCAACCATGAAGCTTTCTTCTTCTTCTTCTGTAAATTCCTGCAATTAAGGCATTAACACAGGTCCCTTAGGTCTCTGCTTTAGGACCTGGGCTCTTTAGTACCTTTATCATTGATGTAGCTAGATAGAGCACACTCTCAGCACGTTTGCAGATGATGTAAGGTGAGCAGAGCAGCTGACACAACAGAAAGAAGGGAATCCATCCAGACAGACCTTAGACAAACTCAAGAACTGGGCCCATGGGAGTGTCATGAAGTTCATCAAGTCCAGCACCTGGTCTGAGGCAATCCCTGACTGTAACAGAGGAAAACACATTGAGGGCAGCCCGGAGAAGGAGGGCTTGGGGGTTCTGCTGACCGAAAAATTGCATGTGAGCCAACAGAATGTGCACTGACAGCCCAGGGGGCCCATGGCATCCTGGGCTCAGGCAAAGTTCCGTGGGCAGAGGGCAGGGAGGGGCTCCTGCCCCTCTGCCTTGCTCTGCTGAGACCCATCTGCAGTGCTGCATCCAGCCGTGGGGTCCCAGCACAGGAAGGACCATTAGGATGGGTCCTGAGGAGGCACCAGGATGATCAGAGGGAGATTTAGATCCCAGATAAGTTGAAGATTCCTGGAAGCATTCAAGCAAGGTCAGGCTGGACCTTGAGCTGTTCTAGAGGGTGGCATCCCTGTCCATGACAGGGTGAGGTTTCATTGGAGCTAGATGATCTTTAGGCTCCCTTCCTATCAAAGCCATTCTCTGATGATTCTATGAGCTGTACACAGATCCAGTGAGTTGCTCCAGAAAGAAGTTGCTCCATACACTGCATATTTTCAAGTGAAAGGTGATAACTTGAAATAAATGGCAAATATTCAATAGTGTAAGTTATTGATAAGTTTGTTGATGTAACTGCTGACATAAAAAAATGTAGCTGGCTTTACTGATTGAAGATCTTTAACCTCACAATATCCTTGTATTTCTCTTGAGTTGCTTCCCCTTTTTCAGAAGGCTATAACCTCCCCCTTTTTCCTCCCAAATTCCAGCTAAAGTGAAATTGGAGTTAGAAAATTTGCTGTAGCTATGGTGTGTGTGTTTGTTTGGATGCTTTGTAATCCAGACTTCTTACAATAAAGTATTTTGCCCTGGTTTGTGCTGGGTATTTTTAAAATTTGATCTTTCCAGACTGGAATTTGTTTGAATCACATTATTGTTCTGATGAATTCTGGAAGTGAAGGTAATGATGCTGTCTTTTTTTTTTCTGGCAGTGTTGCAAGTGCCAGTACTACACAGGGCTCAGAAAAGTTTGGGGGTGGGGGGCATCAAGATGTATTGGATACCCAATTTTGTTTTTGAAACTCATTGCTTGTAATCCTTTTAAGACAGAAACTTTGGGACTAATGAGCAAAAGGGAGTTTAGAGCCAGATTTCAGTCTGAGAAGTCCTGTTGTCTTCAAGCTTAGGGTTTCTGAACTCAGACAATAATTGGCAAGACCCTAACAGCTGGGTAGGCCCTGAAGGTTCAAGTTCTGCAGACTCCTAGGAGGTCAGAGTGCCATGCAGGTGGCCATCATCTTTAAACACAACTCTGCAGGCTTTTTAAAAAATGTAAAGGTAGAAACAACAACAAAAAAATCTCCTTATCAGGTGAAATGCGTTTTTCAAAGGATGGCAACCCTAAATGCCCACAGAATTTGGCAGACCAGGAGGCAAAGCCAGTCCTTCCCCCTGAAGCTTAGCAGCAGATGTGCTGCAGCAGCAGCTACTGCAGAAGGTGGATGTAGTGATGATATTGATGAAATTACTAATTTGTTTAGTAGACAGGGAAGGAGGATTTGTCTGTTGGCTGTCATCATCCATCAGCCGTATGTTGCCCCAGGCAGTGGGTATATGCTGTTAGCCTGTTACTAATTTTACTTTGTTTTTTCTCAGCTTAGTTCTTTTCTTTGGTTCATTTCATTCATTTGTTGTGACTGAAAACTAAACAAGAAGGAGGAAAAACAAGAGCCCATTTCTCTGTCTCTGTTTTTCAGAGCAGGTACCCCCAATTCCTGCCTGGAGCCTCTTCCACCTGATTTGGCTGAAAGCTCTTGGTGAGAGGTGCTGTGGCCTATAAGGAAAATCTCTTTCATGATCTAAAAAGTTTTCTTTAGAAACTGGGGTCACAGCTGTATTTACCCTTCAAAATCAGTAGGTGAGTGCTACACAATCAATACACAGTATTGCACCAGCCTGCGAGCAAGTTGGTGTTGCTTCAACATTGCCACACCTGTGATAAAGTGTTGCATGTGCCATGACTTTTGAGGCTTTGGTTTCTTTTTTTTCTTTATTTTTTTGGGAGATTTTTGTTCATTTTTCTGTCTGTTTATGCTTTTTGGTTGGGGTGGGTTTTTTGTGTTGCTTTTGTTGTTGATTTTTAAAATTTATGAGGCATTTTAGATTGTGTTAATAAAACCAACAGTTCTGTGAAGGGCAGGGAGTTCATGCAAAAGAATTTGAGATCGGAAGTATTAACTGGAAGCTCAAAGAAGGTTTTATCTCATACTGATTCTAGTTTCCCATTAGGCCAGTTCTGAAGGGGGAGGTCTGATTTGGAGCTGCAGATTATATGACCTGGATTAAGCTTTCAATGCTGAGAGTCCCTGTCAGAGATGATGTTTCAGTACCTAAGGGGTCACTTCCCACTGTTGTAATTAAATCTGTACCATGATGTTGTCACACTCACTCAAAACATGTTTAGTACTGTAGTTGTGAGTATCTTCAGGTTCTTTTCCAGGTGGAGCTCAGTGAGCCTCAAAGGGCAGTAAGGCAGTCTGGATTTTCAAATTTCATTGCAATGTCTAGTTTATTTTCATTCTAATACTTCTAGCACTGATTTTTAGTGGCACTGACCAGTGCTTTAGGTATTTGAGCTTTGCAGCAATCCTGGAAAGCACCAAGGAACAATCCTCAGGGAAGTGAAGCTGGTGCTGGTATTGTTATGGAAGATGACATGTATGAATTTGAAAAAATATAGTTAAAAACAGGAGGCAGATGCTGGTACGTAGTGGAAAAAAATTATTTTGTGGCTCTTGCTTTTTTTTTGTTCTTAAATCTTTTCTCCTGTCTGTTTTCTCACTCAGTAAGAGTGGCCCTCCTCTTTCAGTCTTCACTCGTTCAGAGGGAGCAAATTTTGCTGATTATTGTAGTGGCAGCGTGGAGTGTGCATCTGTTTATTTCCTGCCTGCATGGTGGTGGTGGGAAGCCCGTAGGAACCTCATGTTGATGGCTTTGCTGGGCTCTGTTGAGCTTCTGAGTCTGAGGTTGGTTTCTCCTGCTCCCTTTTCAGTTCAAGGGGTTTTCAGGGAGCAAGTAACTCTTGGTGAGATAACACCTGTTCTGGGTTGTTTTTTGTTTTGTTTGTTTTTTTTTTTTTTTTAAGATGTTATAATCTGTTGTCAAAACAAAAGAATTCTACTTATTTTCTTAAAACAAAGATTCACTTTTCTAACCAGAACTTTATGAGGCTGGTGCTTTAGTAATCCATGAGCTGAGTCAAGGGGATGACTTCAGGCAGGCTTGAGAATCCTGAGATCACAGCTTTGAAAACTTGTTCATTTAATCAGCTTCCCACATGTAAACAATTTCAGCAGGCTTTTTGCGTGGCGTTTAATTTATCTCTTTTTTAAAAAGTTTTTTAATACAATTGTTGATGAATATCTAACATAGTTTAATTTCTCTATTTTTAACAACTTTCTTGTGCTTGCATGAGCATTGCTTGATGATTTATCCCAGTCTATATGGAAACCCTATAAAGGGAAAAAAAAAAAGCTGCAGAAAATGTTTGAGGTAGCAGCAAAGTAGAAAATCCCCTCAAGAATCAGCAGGATGTAGGGGGAGAGCAGAGGATGGCCAGAAGAATTTGGTTGTGGCCAATAGGTGACCACTAGTGATCCCTGGAATTTCCTTTACTGTTGGAGAGGGTGAGCAGCAAGTTGTTGATATGAGACATGGTTCTCCCCAGCCAAAGAGCTCCCTGTATGTCCTTTGGCCCTATATTTGGATGAGTTGGATGCAGTTCTCAAGCTCACTGGGACCATTGCAATGCCATGATGTGTTGGTTCTGGTTTTTGCTTTTATTTTTAACGGGTAAAGAAAGGAAGAGCAAAAGAAGAGCAGAACACATTTTATGCTGAATGTGCCTATGTTAATGATACTGAAATTTGAGATGGAGAAGCACTTTCATAGAATCATCCAGGTTGAAAAAGGCTTTTAAAATCTAGTCCAACCACAAAACTTTTCAACAAGCCTCAAGGGTAAACAGCATTCTTGAAGGCTGTGTGGGAAATCGCTGGCTATTGGGTTTGCCGCTATGTTTTTATAGTCATGAAAGTGTCCATGAGCAGCATTGTGATGTTCTTGTCTAAGGCTGAAAATGGCAGCCTTTTTTGTGGAATGTGTGGTGATGATTATGCTGAGAACTTTTGTGGTATCTCATAAATTACTGAGGTAAAAAGGCTTTTTTTGTTTGTATAGCGTCTCATCACAATAGTTTGTTTTTAAATAGGTAGGAGTAAAGTTAGTAGGTTTTCTTTCTTTATTTTTGACTGACTTCTGTGATGAGCAGAAAACCTATCAAGAATTGATGAGAAATGGGAGAGCTCTTTCTGTAAAGTACCACTGCTAAGAGATGGCAATATTTTGACTTGCTGGTTGCAAGTCTTTTATCAAAGTGCTGTTTCTGCAGGTTGCTTCTGTGCTCTGCACGTGTGTCTGTGTACTTAAAGAGGGCAAATTATAGCAAGGAGGGAAGAAAGGCATCCCTGCAGTGCACTGCACTGGCTGTGTGGGCACACTGGGACCACGGGGTCACATCCTGGGCAAGAAGGCAAGGGGACAAACCAGTAGAAGGAGAAAAAGGGGAAAAAAAAACAGAGGGGAGGCAGTGAGAGGGGTGGAGGGGTTGTTTTTGCTTCTGTTAGCCATGCCTGGATTAGCAGTGGTTGTAGCCAGAGGATCCTCTGTGGGGCTGTGTGTCTTTAAAAGCGGTGGGGGGCTGGAGCTGGGGGAGTGCTCACAGCAGTATGTATAACACAGCTGTGCTCTGTTTATGCTTAGGCTACGATAAAAAAGCTATAAAATGTGAGATGTCATAGCTCCACTTTGCTTTATTTATACTGTTTCCTCTGAGCTCTGTCACACTGCACATTCATCTAAGTTGCAGCAAGAATGGAGATTAAAATATCACAGCTCAAAATAGGAGTCAAGCGGAAGAAGATTCATCATAGCCCTATTTAAAAATATGTAAATATGGGAATGAAGTCATTTTAAAGCTGTATGGCTCTCCTTCTCAGTGGGCTGGGGAAAGCTGTGAGTGATGTGCTATGCGAGTGACAGATTTATGGGACTTGTTCTTCTTTCTATTTTTCACTCCATTCCACCAAAGTACTTTTAAGATTAAAAATATCAATTTGAATTGCAAATTTTCTCTATGCCATATATGTATTTTTTTTTAAAAAAGGTTTTCTTCTTAACTATTACCTAAACTAATTGTGGAAAGAAGTATTATTCCCAATTAAATGGGGTCAGAAACATGCTCAGATGTTGAACTTGCAGTAGAGAGGATTTGCCCTTCTGGAGCACTTTTCATCCAGAATCCTCAGAGCACTTGCTTATGTCAAGCCTCTCATGCCCTCTGAGATAGGGGCTTGCCTTACCCTCTGTACACCAAAGTACATTGAGTACTTGCAGCTGCAGTTCTTGGAAATGTCCTGTGGCACTCAAATGGCGGCATTTTTTAATGGAGGTTGTTCCTTTTCTCTCCTACAGCTATTTTGGAAGTGGAGGTGGGGTAAGAAGTCTGCAATCCCAAATTCTCATAGTTTTCCATAAGTGCTGTGCAAAGAAAGCTGCCTCTGCTAGCAGGAGTAATGCTCTTTTGAACTTTGCAGCGAGCCTGTGGTCTTTGATGTGGTCAGACTTGAGCACGAGTTTTCCCCTGGAAGAACAAAGCACAGAGGTTACAAGATATTTGAGAAATTAGGGATTTTAATTAATACCCTGAAGATACAAGGAAGCCACCAAAATATTTCACCCATTCTCAGTTCAGAAGTTCTATTTTTGAGTAAAGGAGGTGAAATGTGCTGCCACTAAATGGAGAGGTGCTTTGTGGGTCAGTGTGGGTAGAGTGCAAGGAGAGGGGAGCCAAGGGAGAGGGCTGCTGTCCTTTCCTGCAGTTGCGCTGGGAGCTGAGGTGCTGTAAAAGAAACTGAATTTTTTTTTTTTTGATGCAAAGTGATGTAGGCAGAGCAGTGATTGTGTCTGCATGAACTTTGTAGCTATTCACTTGGCCTACCCCTGAAGAATAATTTCGTGTGTCTGTCCATCCAAGTAGGATCCCTGTTCAGCTTTTGATCAGCAACTGAACACTACAGAGAAATTTCACCCAAAGGAAGGATTAAAACTTATCATTATACATTTAAGGTTGCTGGAAATAGTTTTTTCTGTGCTTTTTTTCTTAAATGAGGGTGTGTAGGTGCCAGCAGTCAACCAAAACTTAATTGAATGACATCCTTAGAAGTTGGTGCTTTTTAAAAAAAAAAAAATTCAGCTGAACAAGACCAGGTCATCTATCTGTCCTATAACTGTGTCAAGTGCAACAATGAGAACTGAGGGAGAAAGACCACAAGTTTCCAATCATCTTGTTCCTGGGAATGCCGAAATGCTTCGTGGCTTGTGTGAACTGAAATTCTCATTTGAGTGGAACATTCCCCACCAGAAATGGGGCTAAACCAACCTGGTTCCTGTGGCACTTGGTTTATTTCCTGGAGTGGTGGCTTTCCTGGTTGTGACTTTTGCCCCATCTCCTACTGAAGTGTGTTGGCAGGAGCAAGGAGTATCCTTGGGTTTGTGTGTCTTTTTTTTTCCTTTCTTCCTTTGTTGCTATGAAATACAGGAAAAGTCAATGATGTTTCCTACTCCAGTGTGTGATTCTGTAGTAGTCCTGGGATGTATTGATGTGTTCATTAAGCTGTTATTGTTAGCAGAAGTCATTACCTCCTTGACAAGCCATTCTTGTGCCATGTATATTTGAGAACTGCTGCTTCTGGCCGAGGTTTGGGGTTTTTTGTAGGCTTTTTGGCATGTCAGTATAAGCCCCTTGACCCTATAACATTAATGCGTATGCATGTGTTTTCCTTAGGCAGCTCTAGTCTT